GGGGCGGCCACTGCCATCGACGCCCAGATGCGAGCCTGCGGAGGGGCCTTCAGAACTGAGCACCCTTCTTTCTGCTCTGAAGCACCAATGTCAACCTCTGTTTCTCTCAGAAGAGGTCGTGTTCTGTGTAAAAGGACACGAATCTCCATTCTGTTTTTCAGTGACTTTTTCCGAAAAACACACACAATTTACAACTTGTAAATAATATTTAAAAAATGGAGCTAAACTAGTGCTTCTAGTAAAGTTTTCAGGTTACTAGAATTTATTCTTCTAAAAGGCTTGAAACTGAGGAATTTAAATTTGCAAATGGGCTTATGAAGATTAGTATAGAACTAATTTGAAATTCACCGCATGGTGTAGCTGAGCTCTGGCAACTACTGGCGTCCAATAGTCATCTTTGTGAGGATACTTAGTTGTTTCCAAACTTGTGACTAATGCCTGTTTGACTGTATATAATTTTAGCAGCTTCTGTTAGTTCAATTTTATCCATGAAATTAACGACTAATTATGATTCAAGGTAATTTGAACGCTGTGTGTGTTGTGATGGGTGGGTGGAGAGGAGCAGGGGAGGGATAAATATACTCTTTAAAGGATTAAAACATCCAAGTCTCCTTTCTGCTGTGGTAAATAACAAAACACTTTTTCAGTTTTCGTTTGCTTAGTCACAAGAGCCTGTGTGCGAGCTGTGAGCTTCTGGATAGTTTTGAACCAAGGCTCAGATGTCGAACTGCCAAAAGAGCTTATCCTGATTACCTAACAGAAATCACAGTAAGCAGCTGAAAGGTCTGCCAGTATGTTTCTAGTTTTCTCAAAAGACAAGGAGGGTTCATTGTTTCCCACAGGAGAGCAGAAGCCACTTCCTCACATAGCCAGGTCCTCCTCTGGCGTGTAACCGAGGTCTCATTCCACAAACGTGATGCTGCTCCCGATGCCAGAGGAATGACATGAGTGTGATTGCAGTGAGGCTCTGGGGTTTCCGCGAAGTCCGGTCCAGCCCTCAACTGGGGCGGAGGGACCTCTCAGGACAACATGTAGCAAGTGGACAGGGCAGAAGCATTCATCTTTCTCGATTATTAATTACAATTTGTCTATCACTAATTTGAATGCACTAAAATAATGCGGAGATGAAGATTTCTTGACTTAAAGAAATATGAAAAAAAAATCTCACCTTTTGGGATCTACAATTTTGTAGAGTTTTCCATTGTGAGTCTGGGTCACACTCTTACTGCTTGATAGAATGTAAATTTCCCCTGTGTAGAGAGAAATGCAGTAAGTTAATCCACAGTATTGCAGGCCTCACTTTCTATTGCCCAGCAGATGTTTTATATATACAGTATATGTTTGTATATGTGCACGTGTATGTGTGCGCACACACACCCTCAGGAAGGTCCCCTGCCTAAAGGCTATGACAGAGTCTCGTGTGTCTACCTTCACAGTACACCCAGATTCTGCTCACTTCTGTCCGAATGCCACTGCTCCTCCAGGGCAAGCAGATAGTAATTCCTCACCTGGATTATGGCAACAGTCTCCTAACAGATCGCCCGGCTTCTATCCTTGCCCTTCTATGTCTTCCCTCGACACACAAGCCAAAGTGATTCGCATAAAGCAAGTCAGATCCTACGAGTTGGATCACACTCTTGTTCTGATACCTTCCAACGGCTTCCGCTCTCTCTCAGAGCAAATCTAAGTCCTGACAGTGGCCTATGCCCCCCCCCACTCACCCCTATCGCTCTGACCTCATTTGCAGTGTTTTACCCCCTTGTTCACTCCTTTCTGGCCTCACTGGCCTCTTGGCTTCGAGCACACAGGCAGGTTCCCGTCCCAGGCTCCCACCTCAGGTTCCTATCTTAGGGAGACCACTCGTAGGTTCACTTTCCACCTCCTCCTTCAAGCCTGTGCTTAAATATCATCGTTCTTGACTGTGCTGTTTAAAACTGCACTTGTGCCAACCTCTGGCAATCTCCACTCCTCTTCACAACTAGATTTTCCTCATGAGCACTTATTACCAACTGACATACAGTATATATTTTTTAAAAATTTACTTTGTCTTTGTTCAGAATGTAAGTTTCATGACAACAGTTTAGGTTTTTTATCTGCTGCTGTCCCCGCAACACCCAGAACAGAGCTTTGCACAGACAGAGGCTCAGTAAATATCTGTAGAATGAGTGTCGAATGGCAAGTTTTGTCCTGATTTATTCTGCCCAAGACTGGAAGGTTCGATGACCATGTTGTCACTGATAATTGATAATTTGAGGCCAGATGGAATTGGGGTACTCTTTTTTAATGTTTATCTTTTTAAACAAATAAAAGTAGAAATTTGGAAAGAGAGAGGGAGAGAGACCCTGATGCTCAGTCCCAACTCTCCCTCTCTAAATGCTGGGCTGTGTTCGTGATGATGCAACAGAACAGACCCAGTACCCGGTCAGGCCCGCTCTTGTTTACTACCAGTCCTTCCATGTAATTCAGTGCACAGAGTGGATCACACGACTAGGGAATTAGAAGCTGTACTTATGATTACATGTTTGTAAGGCTTTACATTTTCCATTTGGTTCTTGTTCATGAAATAGTCCTCGATTTAATCTATACTTCTCTATTCTACTCTAGTATAATGTACTAAGCGAACCCTACTACTTTCTTACTTCTGAAACAGATATTACGGGTTTTACACTAAAAACACAGACACAACAGAAAAAGTAAAAATGAAGTTAAAAAGCAAAAGAATGAAGTGAAAAAATTAATACTTATTTTATCAAGTACTTTAGATAGTTTATCTCGTTTGATCCTTCTAACAAGCCCATCCTGATTTTATAGTTAATAAAAACACATAGAAAAACCAGACTCTCAGTAATTTTTTGTTTCAAAAAAATGCAAAAACGTACTCATTTTCTCATATGGCTGTTGATTAAGNTATAGGAAAACCAGACTCTCAGTAATTTTTTGTTTCAAAAAATGCAAAAACGTACTCATTTTCTCATATGGCTGTTGATTAAGTCCNCATAGAAAAACCAGACTCTCAGTAATTTTTTGTTTCAAAAAAATGCAAAAACGTACTCATTTTCTCATATGGCTGTTGATTAAGTCCAGTTTCGCATTAGAGCATAATTCAGTGAAAGTATATTTTTAATTCTGAAGTATACACAATGTCGTAGCTTTTGGACAGTGTAAGGATTGTGTACGCTTCATTTGTTGGTTCTGCTCCCAACATAATATTAAGTAAGACAGACACTTGAATATTTTAACCAGTGTTGCTGCTGCTGCTAATAAGATGGCTGATGGTGAATCATTTGTAAGATCTGGGGAAATCAAAATGATTCCGTCACAGCATCTAAACATTCATCTCTAACACTGTCACTGGCAAATTAATCCTAATTTGTATTTCAAAATAAGAGTTTGACAATGAAGTTTAAGTTACAGGAGATTTAAGAGAAAAAGGGTATCTTTCAGGGTCCTATGAGTGGGGAAGGAGAGAATCAGGGGAAAATTAATTGGGAAATGCTGCCAGTGCTGGAACAGACTGGGCTTCTCTTCTCTGCAATATGTGTTATGTGCTTCAGGAATCTCGTCTGAGTTCCTTGTTAACCTAAGCAAATGGCGTGGAACCATTTCTGATGAATCCTCCATTTGATATGGGAAAACCAACTCTGCACTTCTAGAGAAAATATTCTGATTATGATGGGGGAAACACTCTTGCTTAACACTGAGAAATTCATCTCTGATGTTATCAGGACATAGCAGTCTTGTTTGTCTGTATATTTTCCTTTAAAGGGAGTCTTTATGAAAGTGACATTTATCTCTGAAATTTAAAATTAGTAGCAATTTCACTCTTTGATCACATTCCAATTTCAACTGCTTTTTGCAGATATTTTGATAATGTACCAACAAATAAATTGTATGTTATCCCATAGATCATCAGTGAGAAGATAATTGCTGTTCTGTTGCAAAGCAGATCTGAAAACTCAGATTATTTTGCACAAATTTCATGCCCAATGGACCAAAAAAAAAAAGGAAATAGAAGATAAGGTGAAATTCAGACTGCAACAAATTTTTAATTTATTCCCAGAGGCATGGATAAATGGGAAGGTTTTCAGATAGAAAATATAAACAAATGACTCGGATGCATCAAAATATTAGTAGACATTTAAAATTTCCCCTCTCGCTTGGTCAGCGTGGCTCAGCGCTTGAGCATCGACCTAGGATCCAGGAGATCGAGGTTCGATTCCCGGTGAGGGCACACGTCGGGCTTGCGGGCTCCATCCCCTGGGAATTTTATGGACGAGCCTAATAAATAACTGGACCATCTGAAATTTCTACAGGAGGCCATCTCTGCTCCAGGTTACATTTCCAACACAGACAGGATGAGAGGGTTATGTTTATCCTTCAGAGCAGAACAAGACCTCTCAGGCAAGGGAGTGAGAATGGACCTTAACAGAAATAGTTTGTATGGTACCTAATTCGTCTTCTCCAAATCCCAGTATGTGACCTGAAAAGTAGCCTCGACAGGAACCGCCGTTGCCGAGACAGAGTGGTTTTTCTTGCCATTGCTTGGTCACGGGACTTTGCTGCAGAGTTAAGAAATTCCTGCAACACAAACATACCATAAACCTACAGTGAAAACATGCCTTTGCTTAAAAAACACAATCAGATGTCTAAAATAATATTCAATAAATAATTGTGCCATAGGCCTGCCTTCTAAAGGGAAAAATATTATAGCCCATAATGTGTGTGAATTCTGTGAAAATCCCATGTGGGGAGAAAGTACTGAAAGACAGGATTTTGTTTGCTGGGGACACTAAAAGTACCTGAGTGTGAGAAAAGCCCTCCCCTTCATCCAGAGAATGATACGTACTTCCTCTCCGGGACTAGTCTCCATGCTGAGCTATTAATCAGAGAGAGGGACAGGGGAGATCAGGGGGTCAGTACACTTTTCTAGTTCCTTGTAGCGACCAAGCATATCAGCTCTGCCATACACCTGAATGCCAGCGACTTGGGAAATAAGATTCTTAATTTGGGTTTTGTCACAGAATTCCTTATAGTTGTTCACAATGTGACCTCTAAACTTTAGGCAAAAATTTAATTTTGGAGCATTCCTACCAAATGAGTCTAATTAACTTGCCCAAAGTCCTGAAAATCTGGCAAAAGCAAAAGTCTGCAGCCTTCCAAGATAATCTTTAAAATATTTATAAACTCATGTAAAACCATAGTTTTCAGATGACTCATTATTATGGTAAATTTACGGTAAGGATGAAGGGAAGAGCCTAAATAATGTGAAAAGTCCTTCTGAAGACTTCTCTGCACTTAAAACAATTATTTTATGAGCCTGATCAAGTCTGTTTAAAAAGTATCTCTTAGGTAGTTCTGTAAACCACCATACATAGTGGAACTAAAAAGAAATAATATTTGTGTGTGTCCCAGAGTTGACCCCCAAAGGGAGACACTCATTTGAATACTTTACGGCAGTCTTTCCCCTAATCAATGGCTATGTCATTTGATATATCAAATGTTGGTATTGGGACACCTACCCATCACGGTCTCCAAACACGTAGCTTCCATACAGCCTTTCCGACTGGCAGCCTCGGTAAACAAACCCGCCAACCAGAGGACCGTTGCTGAATGGCTTGAATTCTAAAAGCGATGGCTCACTTTCTGGAAAGAAATGAACATGGCATTAGATCAGATGAAGCATGTTTTCATGAAGCAAAGGTAATGTAGGCCCAGCAATAATTATTCCAATCATTTACTTTAACTCCGAAGTGTGTTCCATCATGCATGAAGTGGAGCCTTGCTATAGATATTTAGTGAAAATAGTTACTCCTTTTGCTTAAATGGTATAAATTTAAAGGGCTTCCACATACAGCTTAATGAGATGGGAATGCTTTGAAATGCTTGCTGTTATTATAATTGCCAAGACATAGCAAGTTTTCAATGCAATTAGAATCTGGATATTTTTTGGAAATCATGGTTATTTACTTTAGAACCAAAAATACTTAAAAAATACTACTTAATTTTTTAATATTGAATTTTTTTGTAGAAATGCTTCTGTCTATATTTAGTACATTGAGCCAGACATTATATAAAATGTTTAAAAGTTCACACTTTAGTGAAAATAAAAGTATAGTGCATAAGAGGTCTTTAAAACCACATTTACACGTTAAAACAGTCACTTAATCAAGTAATATCTTCACTTAAAATATTTCAATAGTTTTGTTGATAGAGTTGTGTGGTTGACAAAGCCAACTGCAGTCATTCCTTTTGAATCACATGTGTCTGGACATGACCTCACTCTTTCCAAGCACGTCATTCATTATACCCTTGAATACAGGTATGCTAATTGCAACGGAAAAGATCTGAATCCAGTTGCAAATCAATCTGAAAACGACTTCTTACTTCTTAAGTACATTATGTGCTTAATATCAATAAATCACTATCAGCGGGCAGTCTTTCAGGCACAAACTTTTGTGGAAAGACAGTAATTTTAAAGTCCTCCCCCCTCTCTGTGTGATTATGATGAACATAATATTATAAAAAGTAGAAGAGAGAGGTTTCAAATAACTAGTACACTGAGATGTAGACGATTTGAATGACTGAGGACATGAACTCTGGAGTCAGGCAGCAGTTCAGGCCCTGCCACTTCTGTCTTGTGATATTTAACCTTTCTGTGCCTGTTGAGTAAAGTTTAAAAAGTGCTTACTACCATCACTGTGGCTGTGGTTATTTGTTGCTGTTTTCACTTTTATTGAGGTATAATTGACAAATAAAAGTGTAAGATATTTAAAGTGTACATCATGGTGATTTGATATACGTATATGTTGTGAAAGGATTCTGTGGATGTGTTTTTAGTACATAAGTGTAGGGCTGCCAATATTATAACCAGTTTTAGCTAAACCCCAATGAATGTGCTTGTAGAATTTAGCTTAATTTATAAATGCAGATGCAATTCCATCAAGCTAGTGATTCATTAGATTTTTTCCCCAAACCACATTATTCTTTGGTTTGGCTTTTGTAAGATGTGCACAGGCGCGCACACAGACACACACACACACACACACACACGCGTATACCTGGGGGGATATAAAGTAAAATAACTGGATATCACATAAACTAACACAGCTGCTTCATTCCTGGTACTGAATAAATATCTGTATTGAAGGGGTAAATAGGAAGCAATCAATTTAATAATCTTAATCTACTATGTTCCCTGAATCATACTATTGGATATATTACTTCCTCAAAAAGTAGTAAATAATAAAACATTGAAAGATGTTAAGTATCTTTGACTTCGTATTATCCAACTTTATATTTTATATGTATCTCAAAATAACTCCAGTAGTCACACTAAAAATAATGTCTAAACATCCCATTCCCAGGACATGGTTTTACAAGGCTATTACTTTGTTTTCTCTAAAATAAACACATTTAAAAAATTACATTCTTATTTGAAACACTTATAATTTTCCTAATTGCTAAGACTAGCATGCTGGTTATTGAAAAATTTTTTACTTTTAACACTTGGTTTTTCCTCTGTATTTAAGACGTTAAGACAAGTTCCCCCTTATATATTAAATAAATAGAAGTTATTCATCTTGATCCTCAGATGAGCAAAATATAAACTGCTAACTTTTGAAGGTCCATTAAATTTTTTGGACCTACAGAGCACCATTCAATCCATGGGAAGGGTAATTACCCAAATGGAACCCCGAGGGCTTGTAAGAGTCCCTGGGCCTTTAAAAAGTGAGCAGTTTACTCCCTTGCCACTGTTGGGCCAGTGTTTTCATGCTTCCCCAATGCTCATTCTGCAGAAATCCTTTTCTCTTTGATTAATATACTAAAGTAAGACAAAACCCAAACTGAAGCAAAACCAACCAATGGTGCTCTACTCACCATAATCTTTCCCCTTTATTATCTGTAGGATCCTGGCGGATGATCTGTTCTTTCCATTGGAGTCTGAACAAAGTATTGTTAAATTGATGTTTATGTCAGTGGGATGTCGGTCCACAGCACATCTGCGTAACAAAAGGGGGGACACCCATGAATTCCTACGTGTGTCTTCCAAGTTCAGACTGGAGAGTTCTGACAGGAGTCCTTTGTGGACTGGCGGATCCTTTGGGCTATTTAGTCTGGATCCTCTAGAAGAGGCTGAAGGAAATGTCCTGATGTGTTTGTGTACTCTGCTGAAGCCTGATGATCTCTAGAGAACAGTTCTTAATTTCTCTTGGTATGTCCCTCCACCGTGAACGTGCACACTGACTTCAAACCCTTGTTAGTCTGTTACTAAGGAATATCGCACGTACAATAAACTGGTAAAGTATTGGAAGCGGAGTCAGCAGCCGCAGCAACCCACATTTGCAATATACAATGTAAAATTAGTTGTAGTGTCAGTTTTGCGTGTCTGTCCTCCATGGAAGCGCTACATTCTGAAACTCAGGCTGCTCTAACAGAGGAAAGTGTGCACTCCAATTTAGGGAACAAACCAAAGCTGGTCCCACAACCAGCGAGGTCTTTTAGTTGACTTTAGTCTTCATGTTCTGGGCCAGAATTTTTCTGTGACTTAAGTCACTGACTCTAAACTCCATGAGGATTGGAGCCACTTCCAGCTTCATCTCTGTATCACCTAGTTCCAACCTGGGGATCTAAAAAGAGCTCACTATTTATTCAATGTTTAAGTCAATGAGGGACTACGCATGAGGAGTTTGAATTGGGGGAAGAATAAAGTTGAATAATATAATTTTGAAGTTCTCACAAATGTGGAAGACAGTGTTGCATTGTTTTTAGGTTTCCCAAACTTTGTCATTATTGACACGTGGGTGGGTGGTGGTGGTGGTAGGGTGCTGTCCTGGGTATTGTAGGATGTTTAGCAGCATCTCCGGCCACTACCTGCTAGAGGTCAGTACCATGATCCCTTCCTCCCAAGTTGTGAAAACCAAAATGTTTCTAGACATTACCAATGCATCCATTGAAAAATCACTGTTTTAGGCAATGCACACACACACACACATTAAATCATACACACACATTAATGATTTAAAACCCTTGGAGCAATTAAGTAAATTAAAGAAATAAAACAATCAGAGAAGGTTCCGGGTCTTAGGCAATGACGTGTTGAAATTATTTGAACAACAACAAAACAAAANGTTTTAGGCAATGCACACACACACACATTAAATCATACACACACATTAATGATTTAAAACCCTTGGAGCAATTAAGTAAATTAAAGAAATAAAACAATCAGAGAAGGTTCCGGGTCTTAGGCAATGACGTGTTGAAATTATTTGAACAACAACAAAACAAAAACTATTGCCTCCAAATGCTCCCATTCATAACAGGGAAACTATAAGCCTGACCTGCCAAAGATGGGTTAGCTGTTCTGCGGCAAACAGTCCCTTTATTGTCCCCTTTAATTTGAGGATTCACAGAACACAATGCCTGGCAGGGATCATGACATCGACATGCTGTGACTTAAGGTGGAACTAAATCCATACAGGGAGAGAAAATTTTCCTGTATTGCTTTTCTTTTTAAGATGAAACTGTAACAACAAAAAAAGGTTTGACCTGTTTCTAATAAGAGCCAATGGGGAAGAAAAGGCCAGGTCTCCCTAAGGTTGCATTGCTGGGGGCCATGAGAGTTTTTACTCTGGCTGAATGCTAGCTGCACTGAGAACCACTTGACCCTTTTCACCTTTAGTTTCTTATGTAAAAAAGAGGCTGAGAGTGAAACTTCTCTGTATGACACTATAAAGGTAGATCCATGTTGATACACATTTGTCCAAACCCATACAATGCATGACACCGAGTGGACCCTAATGTAACCTGTGGGCTTGGAGTGATTATGAAGGGTGATGGAGGCTCCTCAGTTGTCCCAAAGGGACCACTCTGGTGGGGGGGGTTGGAGCAATGGTGGGGGAGGCTCCGCATGTGTGGCCGCAGGGGGTATAAGGGAGATCCCTGTACTTTCCAATTAATTTTGCTGTGAACTTAAAATTGCTCTTAAAAAAAATGTAAAAGTCTTTAAAAAAGGGGGAGAGGGACCTCGCAGCACTCCTGAGAGGCCTAACAAGATAAAGAGGGTGAGATACTTAGCTCAGTACCCTGCACCACGGTGCTTCATAAAAGTCAGCTTAATGTCTAGCCAGTAATTATTTCAGTTTCCTTTCTGCTTTATTAAATGTTGCAGCGTAACCTCGGAGGGAGGCTTGAGTGCGCCTTCCGCCCTCTGCCGCCAGGGGAGGCGCGGCCCCTGGGCCCGGGCCCTGCCACGCTTCGGGTCGGCAAAGTGCCTCCCACCGTGTTTTTACACGGACGGTCCAAGACCCCCGGGGAGGTTGCACGAAAGCGCCGGCGGGATTGCGGTGACTCAGGCTGCTGGACTTCAAAGTGCTGCTTTGTGGTGGTATCTGCGCGCTCTGAGCTACGGGAATGGAATGTGACAGTTTCCTCCACATCCTGAACCCACCTTAAGTATTCCCTGTCGCCCAGATTTTAAGATCTGCTGAGATGCCAGAAAGGAAATGAACTGTAGACGTGGACTTTGATGGAGGGGAGATGAAGGGCATGAGGGATTATAAAAATAAAAAGTTTGAAAACTACTCACCTTGCACACAGTGAACACTCAATAAACATTAAATAGCAATAATACCTTAGCTAATAAATGAATAAATGTGGCCAGATAGGCCTTAGTATGACCAGCAGATCACGGATTAGAGGAAGCTTTCACCACAGAATTGCTGTATTAGACTTCATAGCTTTTTAAAAGTGTACCCCAAATTTATCACTCTACATACTTCTTAGGGTTCCTTTCTTTATGGTTCATTATAGTAAGTAGTCAATATTTCATTGAGAATTCCTTTAGTATGCGTAATTTTTTTCAAGGAAAAGAATGTTAACATTTAGTAAATTCCTTCCAAATTGATACTGTGTCATCATATATATTAAGTGAAGCTATGATAATAAGAACTATAATTTATTTAAAACCCACCACCTGTGTCAGGCACTATTTCATACTTTACTTATAGATACATGCTTTTAATCCTTGCAAGGTAGCTCCTACCACCCCCATTTAATGTGTAAGGAAAGTATCACTTAGATGGATTTAAGGGGACAAATTAAAAGGTTTATTATCTCTCTGATTATTCAGATGGAAGTCTGAATCATGACGCCTGGTCTACCAGCGTTTCTCTAGTAACAGCCCTCCGAAACTTGAAGGCGGCTTTTCCCCATGCATTTGTCCTTTTGTGTCCAATCTGCCTTCTAAATTTGCTTCGTGCTTAATTAACAGACGAGAGTGCTCAATACTGGCTCGGATAGGAGCTGGTGTGACATCAGGGGCACAGCCTCGCACCTCACTCTTGGCTGCTCGGGCCTGGACCCGTCTTTCTTTCCCCAGTTCCTGACTCCTGGCCTGGCTTTAGGGAGCCAGGGGCCGGCGGTGCTCTCACCTGCCTGGATCGTGGAGGCCGTGGGCAAACACTTCGGGGGGCTGGTTGGTGCTGTTGAAGTGCGGGTTGCTCCTTGGGATGGAATAAGGCACGTTGCACATGTCCGTGTCTACGTCCAGCCGCAGGACAGAACCCGTGAAGTCACTGAGAAATTGGAAGACAACGTGAGTGCCTTCGCTTTTGTTACGTGTTTCACCTAAACCATATGCAGAGAGGCTGCTCTACAGACCCTCCCCCTGCGTGCGACAAAATTATTCAAGTTCCATATGGTGGGAAACAAAACGAGGGGCAGTCTAGTAGCAGACAAGTGGCCGAAGACTGCAGCCTCAGGAGGGTGCTGCTGTTTGCGTCTGTCCTCTTAATTTTTCCCCAGCTCGTGTATTTTGTGTCCCGCAAGAAACTCCATGGAGTGTGTCAGTGCGATCTGCAGAGTGGCGACGGCAGCAAGGACGCTCAGGGCAGCGGAGCCGAGGACAAGGGGCTGAGTGTGTCTCAGGGCTGCGTGCGGCACAAACCACACGGCACCAGCTCATGTCAGGACATCACAGTGTGGCGACTTTCAAAAGTGGCACATCAGCATGCTACTGAACGCCTCTTCCTGCCGCAAATGCAGACACTGACAGCCCAAGTTAAATGGTTAACCAGGGTGACACAATTCAAAGGCTACTTTTCACTCACTGGCTCTGACGCTTTTTCCTGGCGCTTACAGCATTTTCCCATCGAGTGGGAGCCTTGTGTTTTGTTTTGTTTTACCTTAACCCGTCCATTTCTTCCATATCGTCCAGCGTGATCATGCCGTCCCCGAGGATGACGTACAGAAAGCCGTGGGGGCCGAACAGCAGCTGTCCTCCCAAGTGCTTCCGGTGGAGCTCGGCAACCTCCAGAAAGACCCTGGCGGTTCTCAGATCAACCTGATGGGGGTTCTTCCTGCATTGGGGGGGG